CGCATTGCATCAGTCCTCCCAGGATGAAGCACCTTCGGCGGCAGCGCAACCGCGTCGGTAGGGCACAACGGTGGGTTCATTTGCAGCAGGCATGGCCGTGGCCCGCACCCTCCTGCTGGGGTTAGAGGCCGCAGCTCGCTCAGCTTATCGCGTATCCTTCGCACAAAGTCCCCGTACATGAACGCGTCTATTGCGTACCCCTCCACTGCGGAGGGCAGCAGCACAGAGTGCGGCATCAGCACCGTCATGATGCCGGGACGCGGCCGCATCACCTTCGCCACGCACACCAACACGTCGGCACTGAGCGAAGCAGAACCCGGGGCGTTCTGAAAGCACTCCGTTGACCGCCCGTCACCACCCGTACCATCTTCGAGTAGTCTCCAGTCGGAACGCTGCAAGACCACACAAATCCACCTTGTCCAGCCCAACGTAAAAATTCACGGCCCACGTCGTGAGTCGGTCGATGTCCGTATGAAGCCCACGCACAACTCCATTCCCGCAGCGACTGAAAGCGTAACGCCGGACTGGTCCCAAGCGACTCATGCGTCTCTCGGCCTCGCCTAACTGCTCCGCCTGCCCCTCCGCAGGCTCTCTCCGTGCATCCCCCAGGCACACAATGCCGTCACATCTCTCTCATCACGGCCGTTCATGATGATCCGGCGGGCGCCCGTGTCCTCCTCCCTGCCCCTCCAGCGAGTTTCTTTTGGGGACGACACGGCAAGCATGCCCCACCCGATGGGAGGCATCTTGGCGGGCAATGCCTTCCTCCCCCATCACGTCGCAGACAATATACCCCCTCATCTGCATGGAGACCTCCAAATAAACTCTTCATCGCCGAAGTCGAGTAGCCAAAGAAGAACACCGTCTTGGTGGTCTTGTCGAACAGAAACGCTCGCTCCCCAATGAAGCACGCCACCGTGTGGAGCTGCTCGGCGTCGTAGTGCAGCAGCTGGTAGAGAAGGCACGAGCAAGCATCCACCGACTTCCCAAACCCGGGCGTCCCGATCAAGACACGCCGCACAGACGCCGAGTTCGCCCCGCCGTGCGTGCCAAACAGCCCGGCCAGATCGCCCTCAACGATCAGCCACACCTGCTCCACCTCAGAGTACACACAGTAGTCAGAGCCACCTCCTTGCAGCAGTGCGTACGGCCACTTCTCGGAGGTGAGCACCACCAGACTGGGACGGTGGGCGGAACTGCGCTGCACCGTCATCCATGAGAACAGTCGCCTCCTCCACCTTTTAATCCCACGGCTGTGGTGGACTGCCTTCCCTCAGCTCCATCCTCATCCCTCCTCGCCCGTCCAAAACTTCCATGGCGTGACTCCCCTTCGCATGGCAGGCATCCTCGTAGTGCCCCCCCAACTTCTCCAACGTGAAACTCACCACAGACGCCTTCGCTGCAGCGAGGGACGCACGCAGTTTGCTCCGTGAAGGAGGAGCGGCGGCAGCGACGGCTCCTTGCGCCACCACCGCGGCGCCACGACGGATACTGACGTGCGCAGTCAAATAATTAACCAGCCGTCGCAGCAACCACGCGGCAGCGGCGCACCTTTTTTTCACCTTCTTTTGCATTCCCGCCTCTCACCCAGCAGTAGGAGTCGCGCAGTCCGACGCCCAACACAGACGCATCTTTCCAAGCCCCCAAAAAATCTCCGTGTCGCGCCGCCCAAGATTCTCTCAGTGCTGGCCACCTCGCCCTCTCTGAGGAGTGGTCTACGGCGCGTTCACCGACGGGCCACACAGCGGTCACCAAAGAAAAATGCGAAAATAAAACACGCGCACGCCTCGCATGCGCAGCTCCGGCGGAATCGTTCCCTGGCAGCCCCAGCAGCAGAAACCGGCCGCTTATTTTGGGGTCTGGCTGGGGAGGAAACGAGGCGGCGCGGGAAGATGCGTTGGGTGGCCCTACCAAAAATGCAGGCCGCCACTCCTCCTCCCACCCACACAGACAGACAGACAGTCAGA